CAAATCGGATCTTCTCCTTCTGTATCCTTTTGTTCGATGGGCATGTTTTATGTAATTTGCCTAACAGTTTACGGTTTTTAATATCACCGCCTTTCACTTCTTAACATATATAAACCTATACCAAAAAGAAAAAAGGACCCCCTTTTTTTGGATTGGACGCTACATCAACGTTATTAACAAGAAATATTCCTGGCATCTCTGCTCTTAATCCAACTGTCCATTTATTACCAAATTTAAAGTCTATTGGCTTGGTCGATATTATTGTTTAAAGAGATCTGCATATTATCCTGTCAATAAAGAAGTTCTTTGGTTACTCTCCTACACAAATAAATATCAAATATATTGTTGCTGAAACTATTCAACTCAGATAATCAAACTTTCACAACACTATTCATGAAATTTACTTGAAATAGACGATAGTCATCCCATGTTACCATGTGAATCATCTATAAGGAATAAAAGAGAAATGAATCATATTACCGACAGTGACTACTAATATAGATATTAGTTGACAATCAACGTAAGCAAGAAAGCACATTTTAAAATGCAGCACACCTAGATTTTTTTTTTTAAAGTTGACATTTGGAACTCCGTAATATTTCCAGTAAAAGAGAAATCCGTGCCTTATCACCGAGATTTCATATACCCTCAACTTATCTTGCTTCTTCTTTTCTATAGAACTGTTCACGACGACAGAAATTCCAGTAAAAATTTGCGACCGGAAATTCCAAAAAAATTAAGCAGCGTCTTTAAACACCTTTAAAAGCCCTGCTGTCTGCGAAAATATGTGCATCCCTGAAACCTTTCACAAATCTTTATTTTAAAGTCCAAATTCTATTAAATTAGATTTGAGATTCATGTTTAATCATTAATTCTGTGGATAACAAATAACATTTCATAACACCAAGCAAAAATAACTAAAAGAATTGAAACAGAGAGAATATACATTAAAAAAGTTAAGAAAAGGATGGCGAATAGTTATTTTCTGGACAATAACGAAGTGAGCTAAACTCAAAAATGATTGAACACACGAAAACGGTGTTATAAGACTCGATATTACACATGTACAAAAAACAAAGCGGAGGAAACGAAAGTATCACAGTTTCAATTTAAAACATAAAAAATAAGAGCTTCTATAACAATATGGCACAATCGGTAATTATCCTGTCAAGTTCCACAGAAGACATATTTGTAAGGCCGAAAGTCTGAGTAAATTACGCGTTATGTTCAAAACAACATGTCAACATCGAAAATTTCCGGATTTTGTCTTTGAGAGAAACTTTGAGGTTCAAATGATCATCAATATTGAAAAAAAATTCCACGCCGAATAATACAGAATTAACAAATTATAAATAAATTAAGCTCAGTAACAGAAATAAAGGAAAAGTATGGCAAAGCGAAGTATATGCATGGTTTATATTCTGAGTAAGTCGTTGAAATTCAGAAACTGTGATTGTAAAACTTCAGGCACTCACTAATCAAATTACTGGTTGAAAAAAGAACCCGTCACGAAGTATGAAGAATCAACAGCAATAAAGGTACTACTATGCAGAGCTAAATAGCACAGCTGCACAATATGGACTTTTGCAACAGAAGTTCAAAATGAGACCGAACATTAGTTCTGAGAAATCTGAATTTCGCCCCTGTTTAACTGAAAGGCAAAAGATACCATAAGTTAAGGCAAAGATACTACAAGTTAATTATATAAGTTAAAAAAAAACCGAGAGAATTATTTACAGTTGTCGTAAAATATTGTCGTATATCATCTATCATCATATGTAAAACTTTGCCGAACAGATCCGGATTGCAACGGCAAACAGCATCAATTTGAAGAGCATCACAACGGGATCTTTAAACCATGTGCAACAATAAATAAATCATTCTAGAAGAAAAATTCTAAGCCTGCCTTAAACTACTGCAGGCGATTATGTTGCTGCTTTCGTTTGTAAGTTTTTGGTGGCAATGGAGGAGGTGAAAGTTTTCGGTGACAATTAGAATCGTTTTCTTCTGTAGCCACTTTTTCACCGAACAATTCTTGTGGTTTCCTGCTGTAAAATCTGAAATGTAGTTAGTTATAGATCTCAAATATGAAAACAGCTTATATGCAAACAACGATCATCATAGCACTATAATTTGTCAAGACACACAAAAAACAACTTACAGTTTTGGCGGCCTTGGAGGTGGCTCAACTGGGCAGGCTCGTCGTGGATATAACCTTGGCGCTGTGGCAGCATTATTCTGACTTGAATTTTGCGATGATGAGAATAGTGATATTATACCGCTTGCATCGGACACAGCTGACCTTGCTTCTCTAAAAATCCTGAATCAGCTAACATGACCTCAACAAATACTAATAGCGAAAATTTACATTGTGATTTCCATAAATTTGAAATTTGGGTTGTAGAAGTTTGAGAAATTCAACTCTAACTTATTCCAGACGACGCGCACAGCTGTTGTTTCAACTGATGGAAATGGTTTGTTTATTTGATACTTTATTGATGATAGCGCAAAAGAAATCGTTCATTTTATGGATGATAGCGCAAAAAGACCGTTTACTTTATGGTTGATAATGCAAAAAAGCCGTTCACATCAAAACGTGACCTTAAATGCGTCAATTAAATTACATATAATCAATCACTTTCACCGTACTGTTTTCATAAAGACAATATTTAATTATTATTAAATCGTTAGAAAAAAAGAAAAACAATACTTCCTATTCGATTACAATTATTAATTG